CACCTCTCCTTAAGGGCCCCGCTTTCATTACTTCTGTGCCCTGGCCAGAACTGTCTTTCCGGGGGTGACAGAGTGGAAAAACAAAGTCTCACTAGATTCCGTACTAGGAACTTTCATATCCATAACCTCATTTTATTCACAAGATCAACTTAAGCTGTTTGTAATTAACTACAAAATATAGGACAAATTCCAAAGGCCCTGAGACTTCAGAGTCCTCACTGTGGGCCGGAGTGGCCAGGGATCTCTCCATGGAGGAGAGGGAAAGGGACTAGGGCCTTGGGACAGTAGGCAGAGACCAGACCATTCTTAGGTCTGCTTCCTGGTCTGAAAGGTGGCCTTACTCTTATCTGTGCTTGGCTCCTCTAGCTCCTGAGTGAGTCTCTGCATCATGCTGCATTTCCAAAGATGATTCATTTCTGGCCAATCCCATTGGATTTAGGCCAGTAATAGTTGAGCTTGAAACGAGTCCTATGCCATTTATAAAGTGCTGGCTGAGTTTGCAGAAAAAGCAGACCACCGTAGTTCCCTCTTCTTCTCGTCTCCACCCAGGTGAAGATTCTCAGAGAACTATCCATTACCCATCCTGCTGCTTGTCACTACCCTACCCCCATCCTGCCCCACCACCACACGCACACAAACAGAACAGCAGACAAAATGCTTGATCATCTTCTAGGAATTTCACTCTTAGTGCTTTAAGTTTTTGTCTGGTGTGCTGAATGTTTTGCTCTATCATTTCTTTTGAAAGTGGATTTTTTTTTTCATTCGTTAAGGGTTTTGTTGTTGTTGTTGTTGATTTGTTTTTGAGCCTAGTGATTTTTACCAAGCTCTAACTCCAATTTTCAACTTTCTACTTGTCCTAAAATTGATTTATTAAGTTTAAAATATGTCATGTAAAATTTTATTTTGCATAAATCACTCCAACAGTTAATAAGATGCTATCATAGGAAACTAATCAGGTACCAACCAGAGTAGTTCTCAAACCCTGTATTTCCAAAAGAGAAGTCTCCCTCCCTTAGGAAATGCAGTGAGTGCACATACAAAGCATACAAGCACAGAAACACTGCACACAGCTTACCTTGCTGACTACAGTGACCTCCAAACCTTTCTCATACAGAGCAGTTTGGCTCAGTCTACATTTCTAAACTTGCAAATTTAAACACCGAGCATTGAGAGGACAACAAAAGAGACTCCAAGGAAGTAGGAAGACCCACAATGACCCAAAGGAAGTATAAATGACCCAAAATGTTTTTTAGTTATACTGAGATCTATTTAAAAACCACACAGCACAAAGATCCAGCCTTAACTTGAATAGTTGTGACATCATTCAACACCAAAGCACCCTTCTATTGCACATAGTCTTAGTTTTCCTGCTCTTATTTTAAAATTTCCTTAACTGTTTAATGAATACTTATTAAATGATTACCATGTGAGAGACTGAGAGATTTTAAGTCCTTGCTCACTACAAGAGGGCTTCCCTGGTGGCTCAGATGGTGAAGAATCTGTCTGCAGTGCAGGAGACCCATGTTTGATCCCTGGGTCAGGAAGATCCCCTGGAAGAAGAAATGGCAACCCACTTCAGTATTCTTGCCTGGAGAATCCCATGGACAGAGGAACCTGGTGGTCTACAGTCCATGGGGTTGCAAACAGTTGGACATGACTGAGCAGCTAGCAACTGCCTTCTTTCTTCTTTCACTACAAGAACTCAGAGTTTCCCAGGAAGACAGAATGATCCATCGACACTTGAGTCTGACTGCCTGGACTGAAATGCTGTCTAGCCCACTTGGGTCCATGTTGACATCACTGAGCTCCCAAGTCCACCTGGGGTTTTCTTCCTCTGGGCATTCTGTTTAGTAAACAATAAGTGCTTCATGGTCTACGGCACTTCTAGTTAGGTTGTTTGATAATTGCAGCCAAATATGATACATTGAAAAAAGAACTTTCATGAAATGATCTGAGGGTGTGATATTTCATTTTATTGGTACAAATATATTCAACTGCCACATGTGGAAATAGTCAAGTGAGCAAAAAAGTCAATGAGAATTGAAGTATAGGAGTTATTTACAGAGGGCTGAATGAAATAATTAAAGAAGCAGCAGGAACATGTGGGACTCTGTCTTTGCTTTGAACTGTAACTATGTATCTTGGATATTAACATTTTTCTAAATTTTATTTTTTCTTTGCTGATTTAACTAGGCCAGAAAAATTAAGACACTTTGATAAATACAGCTTTTCATGAAATAATTTGCTATTCTGAAAATTTTAGGCTTCAGCTCAATGTCTTCTGGCTAGTCATTATGTTATATATATATTCCAACAAAAGTCATAAGTAAATAATGTATTTAGAAATCAAGTCATAATCTAAGTGTACTAGTGAAGCTAGATATTTAAAAAATAAATCTATTTGCATAATGAATGACACTTTTGTAGGAAAAATAATCTCCTTCTTATTCATCCAGTCTGTAAGATTATATTTTAATATGTTGGATTTTCTTAAGAGAGTTCTGCTTATCCTTACTTCCTAAGCTCAGTTTGTTGGGTTGTTTGTTTTTCTCTATTTTTTGGCCACAGCATTTGGCATGGGAAGGTCCTAGTTCCCCAAAAGAAATTGAACCCATGCACTCGCTGTGTAATGAAAGTATGGAGTCAACCACTGGACCATCAGGGAAGTCCCTTCACTTAATTATGTAAAATCCAGACTTCTGTGTACTATTTTGATGAAGAGTTTCTGTAATATGAGTCTCAGTACAGAAGACAAAGATGTTGCAATCAACAAAACAATTTTTGTCTTTTTATTCTGCAACTGGCAATGCAATATTGTCTTAGTAATACATTTCCATTTGATCTCATTATTTCTATTTCACTAGGTAAAGTTTTTTGTTTTGTTTTTTTCTACATTCTCAGTGAAGAAGGAATCTGAAAGCTTGATTCCTGGTGGATCTTATTTTCTGCTTTGTAAACGTCTATCAATGATATCATCAAACAATTGTTCAAATTGAAATACAGTGGAGAAGAAAAAAAAGAAAAGTGCAGTGGAAGAGAATCCTCTGTATGTGTGTTAAAACACCCCATAAAAATTCAGAGTTGAAAAACTTAGATATCAATTAAAATGTAGTATTGATTTAAAGTAACTGCTTAAGGCTTACACTAGTGAGTGAATCTTCCTGTCCCTTTAAAAAGAAAAGCCATTGCATTCTGGTTGCTGAGCTCTCTTGGATTTATTTTATCTTAGCAGCTGTTCCTGAAGTCACTGTTATTCAAATGAGGGTTTTCAAACTCTTTGTTGTGTTTTTTCATAACGTATGGTATATGCTATCAAATTTAGAATGGGTGGAGGTGAGGACAATTAGATATACAAGAGAAATAAAGTCATATTGAAAAAAATCTCTAATTTTCATTTAACAAAGACTGTTGAGTATGATCTCCTGAAGCCCCAGTGATAGTAGCAAGGCAAAACCCCTGAACCTCTAAGCACCAGAAGTTTGGATGGTATATTTAGTAATAGTGTGTGTGTGGGGGGGAAGATATCCTGAATGGAAATAATGGGACTTTCTGTGGTTATAAAAGATGGGGAAAGAGTACATCAAACACTTTTCTTGCCACTTCAAAATAAGCAGATTATAAATTTTACCTAACATAGGCTATGCTTTGATATAGAAAGAATAACTTTATAACTCATATACCTTTTGTTTCTTTTATTTTTGTTGTTGTTGTTTTCTCAAGAGGTAGCATAAGCCTGCAAACTCTGGACAAGGAATCTGGCTTTGCCTCATACTTGTACTTTTCATTGAATTTACAAATTAAATGATTAGCTTTGCTAAGAGCAAAGTATATATGGAATTTTAATTTATTTAGGACTCAGTCATATGAAACTCATTTCTAGTCATGTATAATCATTTCCTAGTATGCATGTCAATGATTTATTGAGTAATTTTTATTTGTCAAACAGTATTCTAAGTGCTTAGGTATCATTATTGCCTTTATTTCTAAATTAGTAATTAAGAAAGTAGAGGTTAATTTGCTCAAGAATACCCTGCTAGGAAATTTCACAGTTAGGGTTTACAGAGCTCTTATCTTAACCACCATGTCATACCCAGTATTTAGGACTGCCTTAACCTCTCATTCTCCACTCATTTTTGTTCAAATGCCTGCTGACTATTGAATAGAAATCTTCAAACCAGGATAACCATATCTGCCCATGTATATGAAGACTCTCCAGTAGTACAGAGCATGGATAGTTTTAAGGGACTCAATTCCACATTCTTAACTTTCTTTTTTAAAAAATATTTATTTATTTATCTGCTGCACCAGGTCCTAACTGTGGGACGTGGGTTCTAGTTCCCTGACCAGGGACTGAACCCAGGCCCCCTGCATTGGGAACACAGGGTCTTAGCCACTGGACTACCAGGGAAGTCCCTCAACTTTCACTCCTATACCTTCCTAAAATTTATCTGCCTGAAAACATGCTTGCAATCTCTTTTCCATACCCCCCCTTTTTAAAAAACAATTTCCATTTTCCCATTTAACATAAAAAAATCTTTCTTCTTACATATTCCACGTCATACTGTGGTGCATTGACCTTAGTTGCACAAAACATGGAAAATTAGAAGCCTTTGTGAGTGCTGAGAAAGGGGATGACTGTGATGACTGGAGAACAGAAGTGTTACCTGCTAAAGCACTAAAAATAATTTAAATGGCTTTAGTTCCGATTTCAACTTGAAGGAGGCCAAGGTGCCATTTTCTTCAGTCCTCTGAAATCCAGGTTTATCTGACACCAGCTGCCTCACCATGTCACCTAAGTTAGACCCTAAGGCGACAAAGTTATATGTCTGAGGGGCACCCATGTAGAAGTCTGTGCCACGTCTGTCCTGGCTCCCAAGCTCGGCCCCCTGGGTCTGTCTCCAAAAGAGGTTGGTGATAACACTGCAAAGGCAGCTGGTGGTTGGAAGGGTCTGAGGACTACAGTGAAACTGATCGTTCAGAACAGACAGGCCCAGATTGAGATGGTACCTTCTGTGTCTATCCTGATCATCAAAGCCTTTAAGGAACAACCAAAGGACAGAAGGAAGCAGAAAATTATTAAGCACAGTGGAAACATTGCTTTTGATGAGGTCATCCACATTGCCCAGCAGATGCAACACCAATCTTTAGCTCCAGAATATTCTGGAACCATTAAAGAGATCCTGGGGACTGCCAGGTCTGTGGGCTCTGATGTGGATGGCGGTCATCCTCATGACATCATAGACGAATCCAACAGTGGTGTGGTGGAATGCCCAGCTGGTTAAGAACTGCAAAGGAACTTAATTCAATAAAGGGTTATTTGACAACCAGTAGGAAGAAAAAATACTTTAAGGAACAGATCATCACATGATTTTTGGCATATAGTTGAAAGCAGTTCCAGGAACTGAGTAACAGGGCTACAGCAAATCCCTTCAGTTCCCATCTACTTACTTTTGTGAACAAACTGCTTCAGCAATTATATCTATAAGAACAGTATCAAACTCATGATTAGAGTTGGGGTGAAACTCAATATAACTCTATAATACTCATCCCCAAATCCACTGGGGAAAAAAGACCCCTCCATTTTTCTAACATGTTTTATTTTTATGCTTAAAAATAGTTATCAATTTGTAATGTAGCCATGTTTGATCAGTTGTGTACTGCTAACAATTTTAGTGACAACTCCATTCAGAGACAAAACAAGGGCCTTAAAGTTACCAGAAAGCAAAATTATGTAAATATATAGTTGTAAAAAATGATGCAGTCATCAATACAAATTTTTCAAGTATGAAAATATGCAATAAAATAGCAGTCTGTGGGAACAATGGAAATATGGAAATGAAAACATGAGTTCAAGAAGAAGAAGAAGGAACAATGTAAATTTTCTGGCTGTTAAAGAATAGCTAGGTCACATATATTTAAAAGGAATAATGTTGGGTAAAAAAAGTACTATGGGATTTAGACTCTTTGGGGTAACTTTAAAAGAGTGAGCTAGCAGCTTTATTTTAAAATATCATGAATTGCATGCAATATGCTGGAAATGATGCTCTGCAAATGTACATGGAAAAATTACAGGTGGCAACATAAAAATACAGGAAGGATGCAAATTTTTCAAAATTCTTTCAGGGAGGTATGTGAGCAGAAAGTTTGAAGACCGCTGATCTTGAAGCCACAAAAGATCTCCCCCGGGGTACTTAAAATTTGCTCCAAGTAATCATTAACACTACCATTTTACATGTTAAAAACATGGTTGCCGTGTAAAATAAAACGCCGTGGTCACTGCTCTGTGCCCTGGGTATTCAGCAATGCTAGCAAATGGGAACTGAATATACCACTTCACGTTGTCATGGGCACATTTCCTGTGCTAGTCTAGCATCTCTAAAGAGGGCTACTGTGTGTAACTATGTCCACCATGCTGCATATGTTTTAGGAAAACAATAAAGCAGAGCTTTTAAGATCGGAGAAGGCAACAGCACCCCACTCCAGTACTCTTGCCTGGAAAATCCCATGGACGGAGGAGCCTGGTGGGCTGCAGTCCATGGGGTCGCTAAGAGTCAGACACGACTGAGCGACTTCACTTTCACTTTTCACTTTCATGCATTGGAGAAGGAAATGGCAACCTACTCCAGTGTTCTTGCCTGGAGAATCCCAGGGACGGGGGAGCCTGGTGGGCTGCCATCTATGGGGTTGCACAGAGTCAGACACGACTGAAGCGACTTAGCAGCAGCAGCAGCAGCTTTTAAAATAAATGTGCCAGAAGATTCTCCTGTGATTTTTCTATCTATATAAGCCTAGTCTATGGGCTCCTTAGGCTAAATATTTTCCAGACCCAAATTTAGGACCCATGATCTGATATGTGAAAGTGTCCTTTGAAGGTTAGACAGCTAACTGGCAATCAGAAATTTCCTGAAAATCCAGGACTCAGGTCAAAATAAGTATATATGATCCACATCACATCTACTATATCAAAGTGAAAGTCTTATAACTTATTCTAGTACCAAATTTGGACTCTAGAAAGCATGGATTCTCATTTTATACTGCTACAAATCCTCAATAAATCTTCTCTGGGCTTCGTTTTCTTCATGTGTAAAAGGTGGGATTGCTTACTTATTTTTTGTTCCTTTTCTGTGCAGAAGATTTTTTTCATTCATTAATTCACCAAGCTTTTACTGAGCACCTGCCATGTACCAGATTCAAAGTGAATGAGACAAAGTAAGTCCCTTCCCTCAAGGTGCTTCCAGGCAATGAGGACATTGAAACTGTTAATTTAACACCGACTGATAAATGCTGTAACAGAGGAGTGTGGAAAGGTACAGATAGCGGTGGCTAAGTGGAGGGAAGTGTCAAGTTAATGAAGACTTCATGCAGAACCAAACTCTGAAGTGTATCTCTTTTTTTGGTCCATCTCATGCTTTAAATTTTTTAAAATTTTCACTCCTTTTAGTTATTTTTCTTCTTTTAATTTATTTTTAATTGGAGGCTAATTGCAAAGTTGTGTTGGTTTCTGCCATACAACTCCAATTACCCAGAAGTATACATATGTCCCCCTCCCTTGAGTCTCCCTTCCACCCCCTCAAAGATGTAGCAATACATCCATATAATGTAAAATTCAAAATGTATAAAAAGGCATGCTGTGAAAAGTTTCCCTATATCTTCCCTTCACCAGCCTAGTTTCTCTCCTCCAACACAATCAGGGCTGCCAATTTCTTGTATATTCTTCCAAAGATTTGAATCATGTCTTAAAAGAATAGGTGTAAGATAATGAAGTGAAAAGGAGACGGAGGGAGCATTGCAACAAAGGGAACAAGCAGAGCTTGGGTCTTTGGGGCTGCAGGGCATGCTCTGAGGACTGTTTCCATGCTAAGTTTGGATCTGATCATGAAGCATTAGGACAGCCATCCGTGCTGAGCAGAGATGGTGCCTGATTAAAAAAATGATTTAGAGCACTCTGGCAGAAATGAGGAGAACAGATTGGAGAGAGGTGAGATAGATGAGGGAGACCAGTTAGGAGGCAATCGTAATAATCCAAGGAAGTACTAATGAGAAACTAAGGCAGGACAGAATCAGTCAGCATTGGAAAGGGGGCCACCACGGAGTTATTAAGGAAGAAGGATGAACAGCATTACTGGATCGATTGGATTCCGATGGATTTAATTCCTGTCTGTTTTCACCTAAGAATTGCCTGAGTCAAGTTCTAAGAATAATTAGACATAATTATACACACACACACACACACACACACCCCACACTGAAGCACTGAAGCAGTCACCAGGGTATTCCATATTGTCTTAGATGTTAATCTCAGTGAGGTCGAGATGTCCAAGCTTCCCAGGTCAAATTTCATCACTTAAATTTTTATCCCTGAGCTTCCCTGGTGGTTCAGTGGTAAAGAATTCACCTACCAAAGCAGGAAGCTAGGAGTTTGATCCTTGGTCATGGGAAGACCCCACGTGCTATGGAGCTACTAAGCTCCGTATCAAAACTATTTGTGTATCAAAACTATTGAGCCTGCGCTCTGGAGCCTGAGAACTGCAACTGCTGAGCCCGCGTGCCACAGAGCCTGTGATCTGCAGCAAGAAAAGCCACTGCAACAAGACCGAGCACCGCAACTGGAGAGTAGCCCCTGCTCACTGCAACTAGAGGAAAAGCGAAAAATCCTTGCAGCAACAAAGACCAACACAGGCAAAAATAAAATATAAATAAGTGACAAATTAATTTTTTTTTAAATCCTTATACCGCTCTGTCATCAGAAAAATCCTCTGTAACCACACTCTTCTCTGAACAGCCCCCTCACTTTCTATGAATCGTTCTGAGGAAACCTGGTGTTCCCTGAGGATACTGCATTCCCTGCAGCCTCGTGAGTGGTGGCCAGTTTTCCTTCACCTCATGCAACCTGGGTGAGAAGGTGATCCAGGGTTCCAAGTCATTGTCTCTTTCTTGCCCTCCCCCGACAGCTTCACTGAAGCTCATGCTCTGAAGCTCACCTCCAGAACTTTTGCTGTGGTCTCTTCCTGTCCTCCTGGTCCTTCCCACACGTTCTTCAGAGATTTCAGCACCAGGTTTACTGTCTTTCTCTCCCATTCTGCTGTCATTTTTCTTGGTGATTTCAGTATCCACACGGCTGGCACATCCAATCTCATGGACTCTCTATTCCTCAACCTCTTTACCTCCAGTGATCTTTTCTTCTACCACTCCACTCCAGCCAACAACCCCCACAGTTATCCTTAGTTCTTGTCATTTATAATAACTGCCTCCTCTCAGTTGTCTCAGTGTCAAGCATTTTACTTCTACATCCAGCTCATGCCCTCAGCTCAAAAAATTCTTCCACTCTACCAGGCGCTTTGTTCATCTGACCCTATTGCCTTTTCACTGTTTATTTCCATCCCTCAGGCCCTCATTCTCTCCTTACCTAACTTAAATTCCATGGTCCTGCATTATAATTACATCTTTAAATCTGCTGTTACCTCTTTCAACCTTTTATTGCTTCCATTATATCATTCTTTAAAAAATCCTGACTCTAGGAATAGTCCTGTCTTTACCTTCTCTGTTTCTGCTCTTAAGAATCTAAATATTCCTCGAGAAAAAAATTGATTATGCTGACATCAGACCTTAAGTTGACTCTTACTTCTGATTGTTGATTCTTCTGTATTTTCCTAGTCTATTTATTTGACTCTCCCAGGGCTATTTCTTTCACAAAACTCCACCACCTTCCCCCTATTTCATTGACCATACTCTCAGAGAAATATAAGCAGCAAGAGAAACTGTCACATTCCAATGCCCCTCCTTCTTGCATCTGTTCCCATATGCCATCTTTTCCTTCTATTGCAAGGAGTGAGCCGTTCAGTCTCTGCCTACCATCCCGTTCACTGGTGCACTGGATTCCAGTCCCCACTATTCCCATGGTTATCTCACTGGCTTTCTATACCTATGTTCAATGTTTTTTCTCTCTGTTGAGTCATTCTCATTAATGAACAAACAACACTGTTAAAAACATTACTCCCTTGACTTCAAATTTCCTCCAACTATCACCTCATTCTTTTGCTTCCCTTTACAGAAAAAATTCTGTCGTGCTCAGCATTCTACATCTTTACCTCCTATTTGAATCAGCCTTTAATCAGGCTTACATTCAATCTTGGATGCAGGTAGCTCCTGAGTTACTTATTATGGCTTTTCACCAAAGAGAGATGAGAATTGGATGTATTCCAGAAAATTCTGAGAAGAGACTTTGTTTTTGTTTGTTTGTTTGTTTGTTTGTTTTTGAGAAGAGACTTTGTTTCAGCTTGGT